GCGGACATGAACCAAATCTTTCAATGGGCTGCAGAAAACAATATGAATTACTCCGATATGGTAAACATGAAGAAATTAAAACTTCATCGGAGTATAGGACAAATTTCAACCACAAAATAGAGTGAAAAACTAACGTCAAAGACCTGGGAGTGAACATGTCGGAGGATCTCACCTTCAAGGACCATAACATTGTATCAATCGCATCTGCTAGAAAAATGACAGGATGGATAATGAGAACCTTCAAAACTAGGGAGGCCAAGCCCATGATGACTCTCCAGGTCGCTTGTTCTATCTAGGCTGGAATATTGCTGCACACTAACAGCACCTTTCAGGGCAGGTGAAATTACTGACATAGAAAATGTACAGAGAACTTTCACGGCGCGCATAACGGAGATAAAACACCTCAATTACTGGGAACGCTTGAAGTTCCTGAACCTGTACTCCCTGGAACGCAGGCGGGATAGATACATGATTATATACACCTGGAAAATCCTAGAGGGACTAGTACCAAATTTGCACACGAAAATCACTCTCTCTGAAAGCAAAAGACTCGGCAGACGATGCAACATCCCCCCAATGAAAAGCAGGGGTGTCACTAGCACGCTAAGAGACAACACAGTAAGTGTCAGGGGCCCAAGACTGTTCAACTGCCTCCCAGCATACATAAGGGGGATTACCAATAGACCCCTGGCTGTCTTCAAGCAGGCACTGGACAGGCACCTAAAGTCGGTACCTGATGAGCCGGGCTGTGGCTCGTACGTTGGATTGCGTGCAGCCAGAAGTAACAGCCTGGTTGATCAGGCCCTGTTCCACCATGAAGCCTGGTCACAGACTGGGCCGCGGGGGCGTTGACCCCCAGAACTCTCTCCAGGTAAACTCACTATCATTCATCACTTTCACCATCATTCATCACTGTCACCATCTTTCACACATAATCACTGTCTTTGCAGAGGTGCCTAGATATGACAGTTTAGATGTCATGCCAAACAGCCAATATCCCAAACCCCTTCTTTAAAGTGCAGACTTAGTACTTCCCATTTCCAGGACTCAAGTCTGGCTAAATAGTATCCCTGAATCCCTTCACAATATATTACCCTTCTCACACTCTAACAGCTTGTCAGATCCCAAAAACCATTCATCTTCATTCACTCGTATCTAACACACACAAACATGCCTGCTGTATGTCCAGGCCCCTTGCACATAAAACCCCACTTGTCCCCTCCCTCCATCCTTTCCTAGGATGACCCCGACCCCTCCTCCCCTCCACTGCAGATTTAACCCTTTGAGGGTCGACAGGCCCTCTCTGAGACTTGTTCTCAGGGTCAGCCAAATTAAAAAAAAAAAATTATTATTTCTTATGAAAAGATAGAGAATCTTTTCCCGATCATAATGACACCAAAAGTATGGAATTTGATGGAAAACTTAGGGAATTATGCTCTCGCGAAGTTAGTGGTCTCGATGTTTACGCATCGGCGATTTTGCCCACTTTGAGCCCTATTTTCGGCCTCAGAAATCATAACTATTTCTCTAGAACTCCATTTTTTCTATTGAATGAGTACAAGAAACCACCCATTTACTGATTTCAACTATCCAATACAGCGGTCAGAATTTAGCAATTTTACCAATTTCACACAAATTTCAAAAGATGCCAATTTCCAAATAGGGTACAGAATAAACAAGAAAGACATAACTGGCACTAAAATAACATTTCCTCTGTTCGTTAGTCACATCGCCAGGCCCCTCTTATATTTCTTTGGCTTTCCACTTTCAATTTTTATTCTTACAAAAAATAGAAGATTTACTGTTATGCAGACTGCTGCATTAGTGTAAACTCACCAGTTGACGTGTATTGGACGCTTGGCATGATTTGTTTACTTTTGAACTTTGTTAAAAATCGAACACTTCTGCTACTTTGAGCTCAGTTTCAAGGTACTTTTCATTGTAAAACCAGTCAAAATCATCTCCATTTCTGTAATATGTCTTCCATTCTATAAAATGAGACCAAGAAAACTAGAATACAACAATAAATACCATATGAAAATACAATGCAAAATCGCTGTTTTATTCCAAAAACACTGTCAAAGTTTTTTTTTTCTCATTATGCACTGTGTGCTGCAGGATTTTTTTTTTTTTATACTGCGCACACTGACCACATAGACCCATTCTTTCATATGTATGCCTACTAGCTTTCTCCCACTAGATTTGAGGGTGCTAGAATTTAGGCGTACTAGTACGTCAAAAACCCTTGGTCGTAAGCCGAACTAGTACGGCCGAAACCCTCAAAGGGTTAAGCACCCTCCAAGACTTTCTATTTTGCTCCATCCTCTAAATGACCAAACCATCTCAGTAACCCTTCTTTAGCCTTCTGTATAATACTGTTTGTAACTCCACACCTAATTCTCACACTACAAATTCTGCATAATATTTACACCACACATTGCTCTTAGACACGACTTCTCCACTGCTTCCAGCGTCCTCCTTGGTGCAGCATTTACAACCCATGTTTCACACCCCTATAAGAGCATTGGTACCACTATACTCTCGTACATTTTCTTTGCCTCCATGGATAATGTTTTTCGTCACCACAGATATGTCAGTGCACCACTCACCTTTTTTACTCCATTGATTTTATGGTTAATCTCATCCTTCATAAACCCATCTGCTGACAAATATACTTCTAAATATCTGAACACATTCACTTCTTCCTTGCTCCCTCCCTCCAGTGTGATGTCATTTTTCTTTATGTAACTCATTTGATACCCTCATCACCTTTTGCTTATGTATGTGCACTTTCAATTTTCTTCTTTTACACACCCTCCCAAACTTGTCCACTAACCTTTGCAACTTCTCTTTAAAATCTCTCATTAGCACAGTATCATCAGCAGAAAGTAACTGTGTCAATTCCCATTTTGTATTTGATTCCCCATTATTTAATCTCACCCCTCTCCCCAACACCCTAGCATTTACTTCTTTTGCAACTCCATTTATAAACATGTTAACCATCATGACATTACACATTACTGTCTAAGGCCCACCTTTACCGGGAAGTAGTCTCCCTCTCTTCTACACATGCTAACCTGAGCCTCACTATCCTCATAAAAACTCTTTACAACATTTAGTAACTTACTACCTATTCCATACACTTGCAACATCTGCCACATTGCTCCCCTATCCATATGAATCCATAAATGCAATGAAAACTTCCCTACCTTTAAATATTGTTTACTTAGGTGCTTCAATATAAATGCTTTCTTTCTTTCAACACACCAGCCATATCCCACCGAGGCGGGGTGGCCCAAAAGAAAAAACGAAAGTTTCTCCTTTTACATTTAGTAATATATACAGGAGAAGGGGTTACTAGCCCCTTGCTCCTGGCATTTTAGTCGCCTCTTACAACACTCATGGCTTACGGAGGAAGAATTCTGTTCCACTTCCCCATGGAGGTAAGAGGAAATAAACAAGAACAAGAACTAATAAGAAAATAGAAGAAACCCAGAGGGGTGTGTATATATATGCTTGTACACGTATGTGTAGTGTGACCTAAGTTTAAGTAGAAGTAGCAAGACGTACCTGAAATCTTGAATGTTTATGAGACAGAAAAATGGACACCAGCAATCCTACCATCATGTAAAACAATTACAGGCTTTCGTTTTACACTCACTTGGCAGGACGGTAGTACCTCACTGGGCGGTTGCTGTCTACCAACCTACTACCTATAATATAAATGCTTATTTTTTATTATTTTTAATTGTCTTCTATTTCCAGTTATTGTGAAATTATGAAGATGTGTATACTGGACCTAGGTAGTAGGTTGGTAAACAGCAACCGCCCAGGGAGATACTACCGTCTTGCCAAGTGAGTGTAAAACGAAAACCTGTAATTGTTTTACATGATGGTAGGATTGCTGGTGTCTTTTGTCTGTCTCATAAACAAGCAAGATTTCAGGTATGTCTTGCTACTTCTACTTACACTTAGGTCACACTACACATACATGTACAAGCATATATATACACACCCCTCTGGGTATTCTTCTATTTTCTTTCTAGTTCTTGTTCTTGTTTATTTCCTCTTATCTCCATGGGGAAGTGGAACAGAATTCTTCCTCCGTAAGCCATGCGTGTTGTAAGAGGCGACTAAAATGCCGGGAGCAAGGGGCTAGTAACCCCTTCTCCCGTATAAATTACTAAATTTAAAAGAGAAACTTTCGTTTTTCTTTTTGGGCCACCCCGCCTTGGTGGGATACGGCCGGTGTTGAAAGAAAGAAGAAAAGTGTATACTGGAGGTTTGTGGGAATATGTTAAATATAATTGCATGGGAATAAGTAATTTTTATAATGGAAGTGCTGTTGGATTGTTAGCAATGTTACTTTTATGAAGGGATACAGGGAAACTGGTTAGCTGGAATTGAATCCTGGAGGGAAGAGGTGGGAAGGTTGCATCTGAATGTGATGTTAGCACACTTCGGGAAAGATGGCAAGCAAGTGAATGTTGGTGAATGTGTTTCCTTCTTTGGGTCACACTGCCTTAATGGGAGATGACTGATTTTAAAAAAAAATGTATACCGCACCTTTAAGTGCCCTTATCTCCAGGGAAAGAATACATTTTGTAAGTTGTCCTTCACATTTTGGGATATTATGTGTAGTAATTATTATCATATTATCACACCGGCCGATTCCCACCAAGGCAGGGTGGCCCGAAAAAGAAAAACTTTCACCATCATTCACTCCATCACTGTCTTGCCAGAAGGGTGCTTTACACTACAGTTTTTAAACTGCAACATTAATACCCCTCCTTCAGAGTGCAGGCACTCTACTTCCCATCTCCAGGACTCAAGTGTAGTAATATTTGATAAAATAAGATGGCATGATCACACATCTACAAGAGAATATTACCCTGTACTTGAAGGTCTTGTCATATTTTTTGTACGGAGTTTATACATTACATTGAAAAGTAGTGTAGGCCAATCATGTATGATTCGTGGAACTTGTCTCACCCTTGCAGGTGCCGGCTTTAGTCAAATCTGTGCACAGACAAATGAAAGAGAAGAGTATCAAGACTCGCCAGGGATGTTTTGCTCTCTTGACAGAACTTGTCCAAGTATACCCAGGTGCCCTCACGCATCACATCCCAGTACTTATTCCTGGCATTCAGTTCTCACTGGGGTAAGTGTTCAGAGTTGTACTTAAAGTGACTCACGGAACTGTAATAAGATTGCAAACAAACCACGGTACTGGTGGGGTTAGAACTCAGCATAGCCAGGCTGTTAGGAGATTCATTTGTAAAACCTTGCATTTGTGATCATAGTGGGGCCCATGCTAACCTCCCTATGGTGTAAATAAATGGTATAAAATACCGACACAATGGAAATATAAACACAAATGCAGTATAATGTGATCCTTTATTGACTATGTTTCGCCCACACAGTGGGCTTTTTCAAGTCACAAACAGAACTACCTGAGGTGGAAGGAACGCGAGTATTTATAGTCCGGTTCAGAATGCTGAGGTCAGGTGAAGAATGTTGCATCTGATGATGTACCGAGTGGGGTTATAGAGTCTAAAAACTTGGGTAGCTTGGAAAGGAGATTGAACAAGTTTGTGAGCAGACCTTCTACTTTCCAAGCTACCCAAGTTTTTAGACTCTATAACCCCACTCGGTACATCATCAGATGCAACATTCTTCACCTGACCTCAGCATTCTGAACCGGACTATAAATACTCGCGTTCCTTCCACCCCAGGTAGTTCTGTTTGTGACTTGAAAAAGCCCACTGTGTGGGCGAAACGTAGTCAATAAAGGATCACATTATACTGCATTTGTGTTTATACCTCCCTATGGTGTATAAATATAGATAGTTGGAGGGATATTATTGTAACCAGCTGGCCCAGTGGCTTATGCACTTGCCTAGAGTTTTACCACTCACTTGCCATGAGTTCAAGCCCCCACCTGTTCTGTGGTTTGTACTTGAACAGTTTGTGGTCTTGCTTTGGTAGTGTATTTGCTCCTTGTTTAGGTAAATGTTGCACTTGCTACTTGCTTGGGCAGTACACTATTCTATTTCTCACATGGGTGCTTCAAGTCTTGCTTAGGTAAGCATTGGTCATTGCTTGGGTGATCGTTCATAGTCTCTCTCTTGGATAAGTGTTACACCTCTTGCTGGGTATGTGCTTCGTTTCATGTTTAGCTTAGTACACCATTACTTTTCTTGCTTTGGTTTTTCAGTTGTTGCTTAGTGTTTAAATATCCTGCTAGTTTCTGCATTTTTCTCAACTGGGTTAGTTCTTCTAGTTTAACTTGAGTATGTTGATTCATTCTTGCTTGAATCCTACATCTGTTTATTGTTTGTCTTCACACTAGGGTAAGTATTTCTGTACTTGTGTGCATGTGTTTTCAATTTCTCACTTGGTCCACTGTTCAGTTTCTTATTTGGTCCAGTGTTCAATTTCTCACTTGCTCCACTGTTCAGTTTCTCACTTGGTCCAGTGTGTGCTCATGCTTTAGCAAGTTTCTGTACATGTTTGGGTAAATGTCTTATTTTTCACCAGCAACAGTTTCATTTGTGCTGGGTATTTTATTTCTTGCTGTGGTAAGTGTTGCAAATTTTTTTAGGTAAACGTTTAAGTTTAGTTTGAAGTACGTATAATTATTTGTTTATATTATAGATAAGTGCTTTACTTCTCTCTTGGGTAAGTACACCTATGAATAGTACATTTGCTAAAAGCTTACAAGGAATTTTTATCTGGGTTGCTTCAGTTTACTGCAGGTGTATATAAATGAACGATATTATTGTACCCATGAACGAGTGGTATTGATCAATAACAACACTGCGACTAGCCAGGGAGTTGAACTCATGCTGCTTTGGCCCATCTCATGGTGAGCGAAAGACACACAATGCTCTAGCCCATGGGACCACACACTCGATTCACGAAGTGTAATAACACTGGCCTGTGAGATTTAGGACTTGCTTGTCTTGCATTCAGGCCTCACCTGTTCCGTGATGAGATATTTGATTTTACAATACAGTATTTTTGATACAAAATGGTATTGAATTCTGAGTATAAGGTGGAATCTGTTAAAAAGTTGTAGATAAACTGCTGTAATTGTTACATTTATGTATTTTTGATATGTTAGGTCAATGGGCACAGATGCAGCTAATGTGACATTTAATTGTAGCAATAAAATGCCACACTAGCTGTCCATTTACCTAACATTTTTGTTGGTAATTCTACCATTATTACTAGTTTTTGGCAAGTATTACATTGTAAAGTATAATCTAATTTTTTTTTTTTTTTTTTTTTTTTTTTTTAGTGATAAAAACAGCAGCAGCAACATGAAGATTGATACTCTGGCCTTTGTGCACTGCCTTTTAATCCATCACAGTGGGGAAGTGTTTCACCCTCACATTAGTGAGTTGCTTCCTCCAGTGGTGACATGTGTTGCTGATCCATTTTATAAGATAACAGCCGAGGCATTGCTCGTCTTGCAACAGATCGTCAAGGTCATCAGACCTCTAGGTACGTCATGTATTTTATACAGTATTTGCAATTTTAGTTTGAAAGGTCCCATGGCTCATATGACAGTGCACTCACCTCACATACTGAGTGTGTATGGTTCAATCTCTGGCAAAGGTGGAAAAGTTCTTAGCCTATAACAGGCCAGAGCCCATGTCTTTGAGCGGATGGCTTGTCACACCTTCTGCCATAGTTAATAAATAGAGGTAATAATAATAATACATATTACACTTTGACATATTAAACATCATTTGAGCTATGGCCCTGTTGGCTGGATCTGGCCCGTGGGCTGTAGGTTGCCGACCCCTGGCCTATAAGAATGATTTGCGTAAAAAAAAAGAGAGAGAGCTCCTGAAAGTATTCACACACATGAGAGAGAGAGACTATTCTTTTATCGCAGTTAACTTGCAGTACCATTCCCAGTTTAAGGCCTGTCACTGAGAGTGTAGATAGCTGAGTGTATGCACCTCTAAGGAATTGAGTTGCAATACATATTGGCAGATAGCAATGTCACTGGAATGTAACAGCATTCTAATGACAGTCTCTTCTATTTTCCTTACTGTTACTCTTGCTTGTTTATCTTACATTCAAACAGAGTGGCTGATTTTGGGATGAAATATTAGGAAAAATAAATAGGAGAAAGTTCTTTTAAAAATGAAAAGAATTGCAAAGAGGTTGATGGAAATACAGTGGACCCCTGCTTAACGATCACCTCCAAATGCGACCAATTATGTAAGTGTATTTATGTAAGTGCGTTTGTACGTGTATGTTTGGGGGTCTGAAATGGACTAATCTACTTCACAATATTCCTTATGGGAAAAAATTCGGTCAGTACTGGCACCTGAACATACTACTGGAATGAAAAAAGTTCGTTAACCGGGGGTCCACTGTAATTGTAGTTTTTTATTTTTGAACACATTGGCTGTCTCTCATGGCAGCAGGGTGACCCTTTCCAAATAAAAAGGAAACATCCACTATCATTCATTTAATAATTCTTGTCAGAAGTGTGCGGACAGTATAATTCAAATAACCATCCAAGCTGCTACATTCACTCCCCTCTTCAGAGTGCAGGTACTGTACTTTGCACCCACCTCCAGGACTCAAGTCCAGTTCACCCATTTCCATGAATTCTTTCACAGATGTTACCTTGCTCTCACTCCATTAGCACATTACCAGTAAAAATCACTTGTCTCCAATCTGATTTTGCACACTCAACAGTCTGCTAGATATCTTAAGTGCGATGTGATTTATGGTCTTGTTACAGTGAATTTAGAAATCTGAGGACATTGTGTGATGTGAATGTTATGTATAGGAGCCTGGTTCCAGGACCTTGTCATGGTAGTGTTGACTCTGGAATCAACAACAATCAGATAGGTAGAAAAGAGGGGATTTAGAAGCTTGAAGATGGTATGATAGAAGGAAATATTTTCAAAATTTCAGCTTAATTTTTTGCATTAGTTTTGAGTTATTTCAACTGCTGTATTGTCATTTTTCTCATATTTAATTTTTCACCTAGACTTGGCTTCATCATTTGACTTCACTCCATACACTGGTGACCTGTATCACTGTACGCTGGCAAGATTAAGAGCTGCAGATCTGGACCAGGAGGTGAAGGAACGTGCTATTGCTTGCATGGGACAGATCATCTCCCACCTTGGTGATCATCTGCAGGTAAGAATATGTGCATGCATTATCTGGGTGCCAGTATTGTTGTTGTGGCTCTTTGGTGCCCCTTTTTATTTTCAATGCCAATAGCTTTTCATGCATTGGTGGGATACGATTGGTGCGTTGAAAGAAAAGAAATCTTTCATGCACTTAAAAATAGTAGAGAGCAACTACCTAGAAGGCACTGCTGTCTTCCCTTATGAGTGAAAAACAAGAACTTACCTAAATAGGTAAGTCTTCTAGCACTTACATTCAGTAGATGATGGGTAAATCTTGCCACTGATACTTAATTCAGTAGATGATGGGTAAATCTTGCCACTAACACATTCAGTATACACTACACATAAAGGATCGTCCATGTAGACATATATTTTACACATCTGAGACGAGAGTGAGTAAGATATAGTGTAATTACTTTTATATAGGGCTTTATTATATAGGGCTTTAAATATTGCAGCACATAGAAATGTGGAGACAAGGGAGATGTCATGTTTGTGAATTGGGCCACCCCACCGAGGTGGGGTGGCCCAATAGGAAAAAACGAAAGTTTCTCCTTGTACATTTCGTATTATGAACAACGTGTAGGGCAAATATCATAAAGAGTATTTGGAGCATAGAATTTAGAAGGTGGTGTGGGGTTGCCTGAAGGTATAACTCAGAGTTCTGTGGATTTTGAGTGAACTCTTAAAATATGGGATGGCAGCAGATACAATCTTTGACTTATAGATCTCTTAATTCTTTCTCAGGGCGAACTTGGGACTTGTCTACCTATCTTCTTGGACCGACTAAGGAACGAGATCACACGCCTTACCACGGTTAAGGCACTCACCAAAGTGGCAGCTTCTCCTCTCAGAATTGACCTGCGACCCATCCTTGGCGACGCTCTGCCAGTATTAGCCTCCTTCCTTCGCAAAAACCAGAGAGCATTGAAGCTGGCAACACTGACACTCCTAGATACACTAGTCACTAATTACTCTACAGCTCTCAGTCCTCAAATGCTTGATAAGGTAAAAAGAGAAAGTATTTGATGTTTGGCCATAATTTATGACTTTTTATGTCTGGTCATGATGTTTTTTATGGTAGGTGACAAAGCATAAGAATTTTTTTTTTTTTTTTTTTTTTATCACACTGGCTGATTCCCACCAAGGCAGGGTGCCCCGAAAAAGAAAAACTTTCACCATCATTCACTCCATCACTGTCTTGCCAGAAGGGTGCTTTACACTACAGTTTTTAAACTGCAACATTAACACCCCTCCTTCAGAGTGCAGGCACTCTACTTCCCATCTCCAGGACTCAAGTCCGGCTGCCGGTTTCCCTGAACCCCTTCATAAATGTTACTTTTCTCACACTCCAACAGCACGTCAAGTATTAAAAGCCATTTGTCTCCATTCACTCCTATCAAACACGCTCACGCATGCCTGCTGGAAGTCCAAGCCCCTCGCACACAAAACCTCCTTTACCCCCTCCCTCCAACCTTTCCTAGGCCGGCCCCTACCCCGCCTTCCTTCCACTACAGACTGATACACTCTTGAAGTTATTCTGTTTCGCTCCATTCTCTCCACATGTCCGAACCACCTCAACAACCCTTCCTCAGCCCTCTGGACAACAGTTTTGGTAATCCCGCACCTCCTCCTAACTTCCAAACTACGAATTCTCTGCATTATATTCACACCACACATTGCCCTCAGACATGACATCTCCACTGCCTCCAGCCTTCTCCTCGCTGCAACATTCATCACCCACGCTTCACACCCATATAAGAGCGTTGGTAAAACTATACTCTCATACATTCCCTCTTTGTCTCCAAGGACAAAGTTCTTTGTCTCCACAGACTCCTAAGTGCACCACTCACTCTTTTTCCCTCATAAGAATGTGTGAAAGTATATTTAGCTTACATGAGAATGAAAAATTGCCTTAATAAATGTGGAGGACTTTATATATTTTGATTATTAAACTGCCATTATATATTTTTTTTTAACAAGTCGGGCGTCTCCCACCGAGGCAGGGTGACCCAAAAAGAAAGAAAATCCCCAAAAAGAAAATACTTCCATCATCATTCAACACTTTCACCTCACTCACACATAATCACTGTTTTTGCAGAGGTGCCCTAAACTGTTGTGTTCTGAGCACCTCTGCAAAAACAGTGATTATGTGTGAGTGAGGTGAAAGTGTTTGAATGATGATGAAAGTATTTTCTTTTTGAGGGTTTTCTTTTTTTGGGTCACCCTGCCTCGGTGGGAGACGACCGACTTGTTGATAAAAAAAAATGTTAGAACGGTGATACTAGTGTTCTATTGTATTATAGTTTTGAAAATATTTAAAAGGTGGGATGTCTCTCTTGGATATTCTTTACTTTTAATAGTTTTCTATCCATTAGCTCTTTTATGTCTTTTTTATAGTATACTTTTGCACAATGTAGTATAAAAATTTTAACAAAATGACATATTATGTTATGAGGATTTACCCCTTTTGTAATAAAAATCGTAAAAAAAATTTTTGTTCTTTAAAATGTACTGTTCTTTAGAATGTCATTGATACAACATAGAAGCAGTTAGAGTATATTCTTTTGTCAGTGTTGAGTTTACGCATCACATTTTATTCGCCTGTATAGGTACTCGGAGAGTTGCCACCATTAATCAACGAGTCTGACCTTCACATTTTATTCATCTGTATAGGTACTCGGAGAGTTGCCACCATTAATCAACGAGTCTGACCTTCACATTTTATTCACCTGTATAGGTACTAGGAGAGTTGCCACCATTAATCAACGAGTCTGACCTTCACATTTTATTCACCTGTATAGGTACTAGGAGAGTTGCCACCATTAATCAGTGAGTCTGACCTTCACATTTTATTCACCTGTATAGGTACTAGGAGAGTTGCCACCATTAATCAGTGAGTCTGACCTTCACATTTTATTCACCTGTATAGGTACTAGGAGAGTTGCCACCATTAATCAACGAGTCTGACCTTCACATTTTATTCACCTGTATAGGTACTAGGAGAGTTGCCACCATTAATCAATGAGTCTGACCTTCACATTTTATTCACCTGTATAGGTACTAGGAGAGTTGCCACCATTAATCAGTGAGTCTGACCTTCACATTTTATTCACCTGTATAGGTACTAGGAGAGTTGCCACCATTAATCAACGAGTCTGACCTTCACATCGCTCAGCTGTGCCTCACACTTCTCACCTCCACTGCCAAGCTTCACAAATCATCTCTAGCAAACTTTCTCCAACTCATCATGCCTGATGTTATGGCTCTTGTTAGATCTCCTCTACTTCAAGGTGAGTCCTTGTTTCCCTATATGCATGGTGGGTTCAAATTGTTCATTTAGTATATTGCTCTAGGCAACTCATACAGTGTATCAATATTGGTAGACTTACCGACAATATGTTAAGTAAAAGTACACAAATGTAACTAATGTGACATTTTATTGTGGCAACGTTTTGTTCTCCAGGACCTTGGTCAAGCTGTAATGGCTTTACGAAGCTCCTGGAGAGCGAAACGTTGCCACAATAAAATGTCACATTAGTCGCACTTGTGTCCTTTTACTTAACAACTCGTACAGTAATCTACTTGATAAATTAAACACATATGCAGCACTTAGGTGTTTTTATTGTGGCAATATTTTGACACAGTGGCCTCATCAGTCGAATACTAAGAAGAATAGTGAAGATCAGAAGGAGTCTGAGGTAATCAGTCCCTCAGCCTGGAGTTGATGTAATCAGTCCATCAGTCTTGAAAAAGTTTGTAGATGAATGGTTCAGAGAACTGACATGTTGATAAATTAGACACATGTGCAACTCTTGGGTATCTTTATTGAGGAAACGTTTCACCACACAGTGGCTTCATCAGTCCATACAAAGGAGAATCTTGAAGAACAGGAGGAGAATGAGGTAATCAGTCCCTCAACCTTGAATCGATGTGGTCAGTTGATGGACTGATTGTGTCAACACCAGGCTGAGGGACTGATTACCTCAAACTTCTTCTGATCTTCATCATTCCTCTTTGTATTGGACAGATGAAGCCACTGTGTAGTGAACTGTCAGGATTTATATACAATAACCTGGTTCAAAATAGTGACAGTAACTTTTTTTTAATAATAGTTATTGTTCTTTTAAGCCTTAAACTGTCCAAAAAAGATCTATGTTCAGGTGTATAGCACTCCGACCTTGATTTTCCCCATTTGAAAGCATGTAAAAAAAACGTAGAGCTACGTTTGGAGCCCCCCGCACGTGGATGTAGATCTACGTTTGGACAGTTTAAGGGTTAAACTGACTTTACAATGTTTTTTCAGGGGGAGCATTGAAAGCCATGCAGGATCTGTTTGAATCTGTTGTACGTGCTGGGCTTCCTGGTCTTGGCTACCAGGACATCCTCAACCACCTCCTTGCACCTCTCGTCTCACCTCAGGCTGCTAATATACACAAGCAGGTAGAAAAATGCAGTGCAATATTTTTTTAAATATTCTGGCTATCTCCCACCGAGGCAAAGTGACTTGTAACAGAAGGAACTTCTTTTCACATTTAGTAATATAAACAGAAGAAGAGGTTAATAGCCAGTTTCTCCTGGCATTTTAGTTGCCTCTTACGACAGGCATGGCTTATGGAGGAAGGATTCTAGTGCAGTATTATTTTTTTTTTTTTTTTTTTTTTTTCAACAAGTCGGCCGTCTCCCACCGAGGCAGGGTGACCCAAAAAAAAAGAAAGAAAATCCCCAAAAAGAAAATACTTTCATCATCATTCAACACTTTCACCACACTCACACATTATCACTGCTTTTGCAGAGGTGCTCAGAATACAACAGTTTAGAAGCATATACGTATAAAGATACACAACATATCCCTCCAAACTGCCAATATCCCAAACCTCTCCTTTAAAGTGCAGGCATTGTACTTCCCATTTCCAGGACTCAAGTCCGACTATATGAAAATAACCGGTTTCCCTGAATTATTACTGTTATTATTTTGGATATAGGTTCTTAAGAGTACTTATTGCTAATTTTTCAGTATGAAATTAAAAGAAATTATATTTCACTATATGATTTGTTTTTTTTTAACATGTCAGCCATTACCCACTGAGGCAGGATGACCCAGAAAGAAAACAAAACTTTCAACCTGATTCATCACTTTCACCATCACTCGTACATAATCACTGTCTTTGCAAAAGTGCTCAGTTACGACAGCTTAGATGAAAATATATATTTTTAAAGTTTATAGACAGCATGTAAGCTTGGCGTTTTGTTTCATTTTGACTCTTGAAATTGTAAAACACGATTGCAAACTAACCATGGAACTGGTGGGGTTTGAACCCATGATGAGCGAGTCTTAAAACTCCAGGCCAGTAAGCCACTTGTCCAGCTGGCTCAAGTAAAATTCATCTTAGCTGGATGAATCATAGAACCAGCTGGCCCACTGGCTTACTGGCTTGGGGTTTTAGGACATTTGCCAAGGGTTCAAACCCCCTCCTGTTCCATGGTTTGCTTCATTGATTTGTACCATTTGGTAAAGCATCACTTTCTTAGAGTACATATACATACTGCACAACCACAACCAATGTAGAAGCTTTGTATGCTGCAACTTTAAGCATCAAACTGTTGGTATAAGCAAAGTGTCATATGGACTTGAATCAGCATATGCTGGGTGGCATCTCCATACCTTCCGCACCTGCATCCTGCAGGTGTAAAAGTGTTGGGTTGCAACAGCCTGCTTGACCAGGCAAGCACCAGACAAGCCTGGCCCATGGCTGGGCTTGTCTGGGAGTAGAAAGACTCAGAACTCATCAAACCATACCGCGGGTTCAATCCCGTCCGTGGTATGGTTTGTTTGCAATCGTGTCATTACGATTTCGTGAGTCAGAACTCATCAGTGGTATATCAAGGGTAAAGATATAACCTAGAACAGGTTTGAGCTTACATGATGTCTTGCTTACAGTCATCACATTCACCATAATGTGAAATCTTGGTGTATTAAACAGCTGTTCATTGGAAACTATCCACAGAGTTTGTTTCAAATTATATTTGTTCTTTCCCAGTTTTAACAATATTCACAATTAAATAGAAGTGAGATAATATTTTGGTCTGTCGTGGACTGTTATCAATTTGCAGTTGAGGAAGAAAATGGAAGAAAGCCATAAGTTACATCAGACCAAATGGACGTGAGGAGGTAGCCAAGGGCAGATCAAGTCACAAATGTTCTGAAGATTAAATCATATGATAATGTACTGTAGTCAAATGTAGTGGGGCTGTTTGTTGTGCTCAAAACTCTGGCTATCTATTGTCTTTCTTCAACAGCAATGGGTTAGTACACAGCAACTATCCTTTGAGGTACTACCATCCTGTCATATGGTCTTTTCTTTCTTATGATTAAGTAAGATAGTAGGCAAATTTTACAAACTACTACTAACATTTAATATACATTTACCTTTACTTTCCTAAGTGTTTTTAAATAGTTCTTAATACCATATATTTTTTATCCAGTTTAGGTCTGCTCTGAGACCAGACTGCAAAGGTGATGATTTCTGAAATTATTAATAAATACAGTGGAACCTCAAATATCGAACTTTCTTTGTTCCAGAAGGCTGTTCGAGTGCCATTGCTGAACGAATTTATTCCCATCAGGAATAATGTAAATTAGATTAATTAATTTCAGACCCTCAAAAATATACTTATAAAAGCACTTACAAAAATACACTTACATTACTGGTTGAGTTGGGAGCAGTTAGATATTTAAGGTTCCATTGTATAATATAACAGATATGTACACAACAGTTAGGGGACATTATTTGCTGGATAGATATCATTATGGATTAGTGGAAGGATGGAAAATTTTTAAGAAATAATTGTAAGCCAGCAGAAGGCCTCGGTCAGATGACCAAAAGCTCCAAAGGTGGGCCATCATCTGACTAAGACCCACGTCAGGAAACATTTGTCCTGTTTCATGACGAACCTTACCTAACCTAACCTAAGCTGGATTAGCACAGTTGAACTTTACTTAAATATTTACTCTACATTTTTATCCTTCTGTAAGCCATGTGTGTAGTAAGAGGTGACTAAAATGCCGGGAGCAAGGGACTATTAACCCCTTCTACTGCATAAATGAAAAGAAAACAGAAACACTTTCGTTTTTCTTTTTCGATCGCCTCGCCTCGATGGGAGACAGCCAGTGCACTGAAAAAATATATTAAGTCATGTAAAATTAATAGAATAAATCTGATTCAAAAGTCTAGGTATGGCAGGTAATAGCATTTCCAAGGTATTTACTGGCCAGATTTTTCTCAGGCTTACCACTCCATGGCAAAGTGTGTGGCTGCTCTGACCTTGACGCATCCCAGTGAGGCTGTTGGTGTTGTTGACAGATTTCTAATGGACGTCACGAATCCTCGGTCACCGACAGTTCAGTCCTTCTCACTTCTTGCCATTGGAGAAATTGGGAAACATATGTAAGTCTGGTTTTAACAGGTGGTTCCTCATTAAATGAAGCTTATTGCATTCTTAGGCATTGTGTGGTGAGATCTGAAATGTGTGTTAAGAGGGTTTATACAGTGTTATGTGAATAACTAAATTATAATGAACACTTTTCACTGCTCTATAACAATCCACATGGAGACAGTTTCTGTCTCCATGTGGGTTATTATTGAATACAGTATTATGTTTGACTGTAAGTAGAAATGCAGTAATTAGGGAAGATGGTGTAAATTATTTTCATTCTTTTTCATTTTTCTGTTTTCATCAGTGGAGATAAATGGTATAAAATACCAACACCATGGAAAACAAAAACAGGGAGTACGTGCTCCCTATATGTACTTGTGTACTTTCTGTTCAGGTAGTTCTGTTTGTGGCTTAAAGCCCATTGTGTGGGAGAAATGTAATCAATAATGGATCGCATTTTGCTGCATTTGTGTCCATTTTTCCATTTCTCTTCAACAAATCCCTACTCTTTTTATTACTTAGCAGTATTGAGGTATACATTAAATGTTGTTGTAAACTGATAATTTTAAAATTGCCTGGAAAAAACTGTGTACCACATGCAGAAAATTGCTGACGGGTAACATATTTCATTTCTGCTGCTTTTTTTATAAACAAGTTTAAGTTTAATGTTTTGCATGCATAATTTCAGACCTGACCAACATGTCATAACTTAAAAAAATGTAATATGTACTGTATGTGTAATAATGTATGCAAGGGTAATATGAGCTCCCTCTATATGTATTCCCAAGGAATGTGACCTCTTGGATGGTAAATTCACCTACACCAAGCTTAAAATTATAAACATTACTGGGTGCTTGACTAGAGGATAAAGCCATAGTGATAAGCAAAATACAGTTTCAGAACCCAGGCACAAACAGTGGCTATTAAAACATGCTGAATTTGTAAATACAGAAGTCATGGAGGTGCAGTGCTTTTACTTGAGGGATGGGCAGAGATGTTTCTATTTGAAGAGTTTCTTGATGTCTGGACACTTAGGGCAAGACAGATGTTGAATGGATAATAATGAATATGTTTCTTCTTTGGCCATCCTGTCTTGGCGAGCTGCCAATTTGGTAAAAAACTTGTGGATTTGAAAGCAGTACAGTACAAATTTATAATGGAGTATTGTAAACGCTTTTGTACATGTTAAGGAAAAGGATGCAAGTGCAGCTAATGTGACCTTTATTGTGGGAGTGTTTTGCTCTCCAGGAGCTTTGTCAAGCCTTTACAGACAATACATGGGCACAGAGAGGTGTGTATAGGTACAGAGTAGGTGTCATTGTAGGTAGTATTGGTGGTAGTAGTAGTAATGCTTGTGGTGGTGGTAGTAGTAGTAGTAGTGGTAGCAGCTGTGTGATGGCAGGGTTTATTGCAGTGAGGAGAATTCTTGCCAATACTTCAGAGATGAAGCTGGCTTTTTTTTTTTTTTTTTTTTTTTTTTTTTTGTTAGAAATAGCGATTAATGATGATGATTCAAGGCATTTATGTCAACGAAAATTAAATTCTTTAATCACTAGGCAGGTGTCATTGAATTTTATCAGGTGTCTGGCAGAATTCCAGTGTTGCATGCAGGCATTGTTCAAGTTATCGCTCCTACTTGCAATAATATGTTTATTGAGATGTGTTTCAAGGTTTCTTGTTTCACCTACATATATTTTGTCACAGTCTCCACAGGGGATAGTATAAACCCCTTTTTTGATTGGTTCAATGATTATATTATGTTTTGCACCTCACTCTGTACCTATATATACCCTCTGTGTCCCTGTATTGTTTATGACAGCTTGACAAAGCTCCTGGAGAGTGAAAGTTGCTACAATGTCACATTAGTTGCACTTGTGTCCCTTTACTTAACATACTGTCGGAAATTCTGCCAACATTATTGCAGTGGGGACGAAGATCCTTGAAACCATTAACATTTAACCATTTTTGGGGAGTGTTTTATTTTATTTAGAGTTCATAAATATGTATGCCAAATATACTTAGACTATACTAAGTGTATTTTTTTGTTACAGTGATCTTAGTGGCATCCCACAACTGAAGGATGCTGTGGTGGCATCATTCAGTTCTCCTTCTGAGGAAGTCAAATCTGCAGCTTCTTACGCCCTTGGTCACTTAAGCTGCGGCAACTTGCAGGAATATCTTCCGTTTGTCTTAACAGAAATAGAGGCTAACCCCAAAAGACAATATCTTCTTCTACATTCATTAAAAGAGGTAAATGTAACAAATTGTAGGTCTTGTGAATAGGATGTTTAATTAATACAGGATGGTGTCATGCACAAGAGTACATGTTATTTTTATCCTGCCTGCACTCTGGAGGAGGAGTGAGGATGTTGCAGTTTGGTGGATCATCTGAACTGTGATATTGGCAAGCTTTTGTCAAGATTGCTGTTGAATGAGTGACAGTGAATGTATTTCCTCTTTTTTTGGGTCACCTACCATGGTGGAAGGTAGACATTGCCTTGCAAAATAGGTTGGGATATACAGTGGAGCCTCTACTTACGAGTGCATCCACGTGCGAGTTTTTCCAGGTATGAGCAGTTGCTCGGTCAATTTTTTTCTGCTAGAAGCGAGCAAAATTTCCAGATGTGAGCGGGTCTCAAGGGAGGTTCCTTGATGCTGGTGAGGGACTCTTGCTCTTGATCTAGGGAATTGGATTTCGTTTGTTTGTTGGACTATCTTATTGAAACTTTGGCAATGTATGATGGAAAGATGCTTCTTAACGTATACCAAATTGAAAGAAATGGGACCATAAATAACGGAGTTCACTTCTCAGCCATTAGCCGCCCCTTAACGGTATATTTTCCTATGTTTTTTATGGTTGTATTCTCGTTTTTTTGGTCTCATTTCATAGAATGGGAGATATGTTACAGAAATGGAGATGATTTTCATTAATTTCACAATGAAAAGTACCTTGAAATTGAGCTCAAAGTAGCAGAAATGTTTGATTGTTGCCAATATTCAAGAGTAAATAAATGACGTCACTGTCCAATAAGTGTCCAACTGGGCAATCTAATACACAGTCACAAATGTGTCGACATTGTTTATACAATTATTACAATAATGCAGTAATCTGCATAACAATAAATCTTTTATTTTTTGTGTGAATAAAAATTCCAAATGATAAGCAAGAGGTATTATTATAAGAATACGCACATGCTAATTAATGTCTTGGATTATGTGTTGGTAGATAAAAGACTGTTGAGTAGACTTCAGGATGTACATGTTTATAGAGGGGCCACAGATATATCAGATCACTTTCTAGTTGTAGCTACACTGAGAGTAAAAGGTAGATGGGATACAAGGAGAATAGAAGCATCAGGGAAGAGAGAGGTGAAGGTTTATAAACTAAAAGAGGAGGCAGTTAGGGTAAGATATAAACAGCTATTGGAGGATAGATGGGCTAATGAGAGCATAGGCAATGGGGTCGAAGAGGTATGGAGTAGGTTTAAAAATGTAGTGTTAGAGTGTTCAGCAGAAGTTTGTGGTTACAGGAAAGTGGGTGCGGGAGGGAAGAGGAGCGATTGGTGGAATGATGATGTAAAGAGAGTAGTAAGGGAGAAAAAGTTAGCATATGAGAAGTTTTTACAAAGTAGAAGTGATGCAAGGAGGGAAGAGTATATGGAGAAAAAGAGAGAGGTTAAGAGAGTGGTGAAGCAATGTAAAAAGAGAGCAAATGAGAGAGTGGGTGAGATGTTATAAACAAATTTTGTTGAAAATAAGAAAAAGTTTTGGAGTGAGATTAACAAGTTAAGGAAGCCTAGAGAACAAATGGATTTGTCAGTTAAAAATAGGAGAGGAGAGTTATTAAATGGAGAGTTAGAGGTATTGGGAAGATGGAGGGAATATTTTGAGGAATTGTTAAATGTTGATGAAGATAGGGAAGCTGTGATTTCGTGTGTAGGGCAAGGAGGAATAACATCTTGTAGGAGTGAGGAAGAGCCAATTGTGAGTGGGGGGGGGGAAGTTCGTGAGGCAGTAGGTAAAATGAAAGGGGGTAAGGCAGCTGGGATTGATGGGATAAAGATAGAAATGTTAAAAGCAGGTGGGGATATAGTTTTGGAGTGGTTGGTGCAGTTATTTAATAAATGTATGGAAGAGGGTAAGGTACCTAGGGATTGACAGAGAGCATGCATAGTTCCTTTGTATAAAGGCAAAGGGGACAAAAGAGAGTGCAAAAATTATAGGGGGATAAGTCTGTTGAGTATACCTGGTAAAGTGTATGGGAGAGTTATTATTGAAAGAATTAAGAGTAAGACGGAGAATAGGATAGCAGATGAACAAGGAGGCTTTAGGAAAGGTAGGGGGTGTGTGGACCAGGTGTTTACAGTGAAACATATAAGTGAACAGTATTTAGATAAGGCTAAAGAGGTCTTTGTGGCATTTATGGATTTGGAAAAGGCGTATGACAGGGTGGATAGGGGGGCAATGTGGCAGATGTTGCAGGTGTATGGTGTAGGAGGTAGGTTACTGAAAGCAGTGAAGAGTTTTTACGAGGATAGTGAGGCTCAAGTTAGAGTATGTAGGAAAGAGGGAAATTATTTCCCAGTAAAAGTAGGCCTTAGACAAGGATGTGTGATGTCACCATGGTTGTTTAATATATTTATAGATGGGGTTGTAAGAGAAGTAAATGCGAGGGTCTTGGCAAGAGGCGTGGAGTTAAAAGATAAAGAATCACACATAAAGTGGGAGTTGTCACAGTTGCTCTTTGCTGATGACATTGGTCTCTTGGGAGATTCTGAAGAGAAGTTGCAGAGATTGGTGGATGAATATGGTAGGGTATGCAAAAGAAGAAAATTAAAAGTGAATACAGGAAAGAGTAAGGTTATGAGGATAAAAAGATTAGGCGATGAAAGATTGGATATCAGATTGGAGGGAGTGAGTATGGAGGAGGTGAATGTATTCAGATATTTAGGAGTGGATGTGTCAGCAGATGGGTCTATGAAAGATGAGGTGAATCATAGAATTGATGAGGGGAAAAGGGTGAGTGGTGCACTTAGGAGTCTGTGGAGACAAAGAACTTTGTCCTTGGAGGCAAAGAGGGAATGTATGAGAGTATAGTTTTACCAACGCTCTTATATGGGTGTGAACCATGGGTGATGAATGTTGCAGCGAGGAGAAGGCTGGAGGCAGTGGAGATGTCATGTCTGAGGGCAATGTGTGGTGTGAATATAATGCAGAGAATTCGTAGTTTGGAAGTTGGGAGGAGGTGCGGGATTACCAAAACTGTTGTCCAGAGGGCTGAGGGAGGGTTTTTGAGGTGGTTTGGACATGTAGAGAGAATGGAGCGAAACAGAATGACTTCAAGAGTGTATCAGTCTGTAGTGGAAGGAAGGCGAGGTAGGGGTCGGCCTAGGAAAGGTTGGAGGGAGGGGGTAAAGGAGGTTTTGTGTGCAAGGGGCTTGGACTTCCAGCAGGCATGCGTGAGCATGTTTGATAGGAGTGAATGGAGACAAATGGTTTTTAATACTTGACGTACTGTTGGAGTGTGAACAAAGTAACATTTATGAAGGGGTTCAGGGAAACCGGCAGGCTGGACTTGAGTCCTGGAGATGGGAAGTAGAGTGCCTGCACTCTGAAGGAGGGGTGTTAATGTTGCAGTTTAAAAACTGTAGTGTAAAGCAACCTTTTGGCAAGACAGTGATGGAGTGAATGATGGTGAAAGTTTTTCTTTTTCGGGTCACCCTGCCTTGGTGGGAATCGGCCAGTGTGATAATAAAAAAATAATAAAAAAAAAAAAAATTCAGCCGCCTTGTGGTCCGAACTGTCAGCCTCACCATGCCTTACCACACTGTGTATGCCAGTACGCTTCTTAAATCTCTCAAACCAGTCTTTGCTGACCTTAAATTCACTCACATCATCACTAGTTGCAGGCAATTTCTTTACCAAATCGTCATGCAACTGCCTAGCCTTTTCACAAATAAGTGACGTCATAAGACTATCTCCTGCTAATTGTTTCTCATTTATCCACACCAATAATAACTTCTCAACATCTTCGAGTACTGGTGATCTCATTTTTGTCAGCATATTTACCCCCTTTGCAACAACAGCATCCTTGATTTCCTTTTTCTTGGCTATGATGGAAGATATGGTTGTACGGGATTTGTTATACATCCTGGCCAGTTCGCCCACACTTACGCCACTATCATATTGTTCAATGATGTTTTTCTTAAATTCAATCGTATTTCTCACCTTCTTTACCAAAGGCTTGGCACTAGGAGCTTTCTTTGGAGCCATAGTAGCTTATTTAGCACTTAAATAACTTGTAAGCACTAAAATAAATGGAATATTATGAAATATTTCACTGGAGCATGTGAGGGGACCGTCGCTCACTGGTAAATAATGGCACACTGGCTGGGAAGTGAAGGCCCAGGCGGCTCAGAGCATGAGTACGCATCCGGGACGAAGGACTATTAGCGAGTTACCGGACCATTTGTGAGCCAATATTTAGATGAAAAAACAGTACTATTTCCGAAATGGACGACTTTCAGGCCGGACGATTATTGAGGGACCACTGTACTGTAGTTTCCGGCATATAAGGTGCATGGCAGAAGTATCTTAACAGTAAATCAGTAATCGTATTCAAGGGTTATCTACCCTCTTACTTTATGCTAAATCCTAAATCAAGGGTAGGCTTTCTACCCTTGACCCTGACCTGAACCCTTTGACTGTCGCAACCCCCAATCCTGAGGTGTCTCCTGGCGTCGCAAAATTTAAAAAAAAAATTATTTTTTCTTATGAAATGATAGAGAATCTTTTCCTGATTGTAATGACACCAAAAAAACGAAATTTGATGGAAAAGTGACGGAATTATGCTCTTGCGAAGTTAGCGACCTCGGCGCTGTTTACAAATCGGCGATTTCACCCACTTTGAGCCCTATTTTCGGCTAATTTCATTGTTCCAGTCGCCCAAACTCATAGCTATTTCTTTAGAACTCCATTTTTTCTATCGACTGAGTACAAGAAACTGCCCATTTACCGATTTCAACTACCTAATAATGTGGTCATAAATTTGCAATTTGGCCAATTTCATGAAAACTAAAAAATATGACAATTTCAAAATAAGGTTCAGAATGAACAATGCAGACATTCCTGGCTCTAAAATAACATTTTCTTTGTTCATCAGTCACGCCTCCAGGCTCCTCTGATATTACTCTTGCTTTCTATTTTGAATTTTTATTCAAACAAAAAATAGAAGACTTACTATTATGCAGACTACTCCAATACTGTAATAATTGTATAAATAACATCAACCCATTCATGACTGCATATTAGAATGGCTAGTTGGACACTTATTGGACAATGACATCATTTGTTTACTTTTGAACATTGGCAAAAATCAAACATTTCCCCTACTTTGAGCTCTATTTCTAGGTTCTTTTTATAGTAAAATCAATCAAAATCACCTCTATTTCTATAATATGTTTTCCATTCTATCAAATGAGACCAAGAAAACGAGAATACAACCATAAATACTATACGAAAATAGACCACAAAGTCGGCATTTTAATTAAAAAAACGGTCGGAGTTTTTTTTTTCTCATTATGCACTGCGTGCTCCAGGATTTTTTTTATATGGTGCACACTGACCACACAGACCCATTCTCTCACCTGTGGGCTTACCAACTTTCTCCTGCTTGATTTGAAGCTGCTAGAATTTATGAGTATATGTACGTCAAACACGGTACCTCGTAAGACGTATATATACGGCCGCGACAGTCAAAGAGTTAAGCATAGAAGGCACAGGGGGATTTTCAAAATTTTTGCGGAGAAAAAAGGAACACCTTATATGCTGTAATAAAGTTGGTAGAATTACCGACAATATGTAAAGTAAAAGGACACAAGTGCAATTAATGTGACATTTTTATTGTGGCAACGTTTCACTCTCCAGGAGCTTTGTCAAGCCGTTACAAACAGTACATGGACACAGAGGGTATATATGGGCTCAGAGTGAGGTGCAATACTAGTAGTAGTAGTAGTGATGTAAGTTGTAGTAGTGGTAGTAATACAATATGTGCAAGTTAATTGTTCTAACATATTGTATTACTACTACTACAACTTATGTCACTACTACTACTACCACTAGTATTGCACCTCACTCTGAGCCTATATATACCCTCTGTGTCCATGTATTGTTTGTAACGGCTTGATAAAGCTCCTGGAGAGCGAAACGTTGCCACAATAAAAATGTCACATTAGTTGCACTTGTGTCCTTTTACTTTACACCTTATCTGCTGGAAAATATGGTATATATTAAACATTAGTAGGCCTCTGTTTAAATACAGCCTCTCCTCACTTAGCAAGTATGTACTCGTTTACCAACAACTTGGACTTACGACAGATTCTCTGACCAGTATGCATTTCTAAATAATGTATAATAGAGTGGATTTCCTCTATTCTGTCTATTGCATTATACAGTGCACTACTGTATAAACATTTAAAAATACTAAAAATGTTATAAATGGTGCAAATGTGACATTAAAATAATATAAAAAATGATTGACACAAACCCACTGCCATTATAGTATGCTCCTTGCTTAGCGACGAATTCGTTTACCAACGTGGTCTTAGAAACGGAACTCCGTCGTTAAGCGAGGAGAGGCTGTATTCTTCACAACTTCCATTCATATTCTAGACAACACTGTCTTACTCTTTGAGACATGTGAATTGCTATTTGGATTTTGCTACTTACCCAGATGGTCTTATTCACTACAATGAAGATTCTTAGAAGTGCCACTGCTTCTGGGTGGTTTTGTGAGCTTAAACTCCCTCCTTAATCTCCAGGAACTTTTCCAAAGCCACAAAGAATGTTATCCATGGAGGCAGAAAAGGGAATGTATTTTATTTTATTTTAATTTATTTATTTTATTTATTTAATGTCTTTGCAAACAGTACATTGAGATTGTGTATATACAATAGTTGGTTGCAATACAAAGAGAGCCTCTATTATGCCTTGGCATTATGGGCCAACTTAACATTATTGACTTAGTCTACTTAATACTAAGAAATAGTATATCATAGTTGTACAGTAGGAAAGTAATTATTTCATAGTTGTACAGTAGAATATTAATTATAAATGAATCAAAATTTGTATAATACAAAGATATACGTATTTATATTCTAAAATGCTTTTGTGAAAAACAATGATTCAATTATATTCCTGTCAACAATGGATAAAAGGTTCAATGTGATTGTTTCAGTTATGATGTGGGAGTACATAGGTGAGTAAATGTACACTGAGTATTTAGCATTTAGTCTAGGATGATTAAGTGGCTTTTGAGAAGAGTCTTAAATTGATTTTCAGACTGGGTTACTTTATTATCTTCTGGTAATGAATTCCATATTTTGGGGCCCTTTATGTGCATAGAGTTTTAACACTGTGTGATATGGACATGAGGTATATCAAAAAGAGATCTGTGTCTTGTGTTGGGGTCATTTGTCCTGTTTAGGTTGGTGAGGAGAAGTTTGAGTGGGAGGTTTATATTTGCGTGTATTGTTCTGTGTATGTAGTAGGCACATGAATAAGTATGGATGTTCTTAATGGTAAGGAGATTCAGACTTTTGAAAATTGGTGGAGTATGCTGGCAGGAGTGGGAATTTGTTATCATTCTTACTGCTGCCTTTTGCTGGGTTATTAGGGGTTTTAGGTGATTGGATGTTGTTGATCCCCATGCACAAATTCCTTATGTAAGTTAAGGGTATACGAGTGAATGGTACAGTGCCAGGAGAGCTGATTGTGGAACGTATTACCTTATCTTTGATAGTATGCCTACAGTCTTGGAGATTTTCTTGGTGATTTGTTGTATGTGTGTCCGGAACTTAAGGCTACTGTCAGGGTTGATATCTAGGAATTTTCCCTCTGTGAGTCTTGTGACTGATGATTCATTTAGCATAATGTTAATTGGATCATTTGCAGCTTTGTTTCCAAACTGAATGAAATAGGTTTTATCAGTGTTCAAGGTAAGTTTGTTAGTCATCATCCAGGCAGATATTTTCTGTAATTCAGCATTGACTGTGTTTGCTAGTATGACTGTGTTTGGGTGGGAAAATACATATGTAGTGTCATCTGCAAATAATATGGGTTTGAGTAGCTGTGATGCATTCGGTAGATCATTGATGTAGATGAGAAAGAGGAGTGGTCCAAGGACGCTTCCTTGTGGGACTCCTACTGTGATTGGTTGGGTGGAGGAGTTTGCATCATTTGCATACACATATTGAGTTCTGTTACTAAGGTATGACTTTAGGTAGTTGAGGGAGTAGCCTCTGATACCATAGTGCATTGATTTGGAGTACAGTAGCTCATAGTCGACTATAGTGCTTCCCCACCTATATTGGTAATTTTTAGTTCCTTTGGCATTTACATTGACAGATGTATGTTTATACCCTAGCAATTTCCACATAATCATTATCAGTTCTTCTAACCTAGTTTTTTTAATAAATGTATGAGAGTATAGTGGTACCAATGCTCTTCTATGGGTGTGAATCATGAGTTGTGGTTGTTGCAGTAAAGAGGCTGGAGGCAGTGAAGATGTTGTGTCTAAGGGGAATGTGTTGTGTAAATATTATGCAGACAATTCATAGTTTGGAGATTAGGAGGAGGTGCAGTGTTACTAAAAGTATTATCCAGAGGGCTGTGAAGGGGTTGTTGAAGTGGTTTTGGACATTTAGGGAAGCTGGAGCCAAGTAGGATGACTTGGAGGGTGTATAAATCTGTAGCGGAGGGAAAGCAGGTTAGGGGGTTGCTTTGGAAAGGTTGGAGGGAGGGGGTAAAGGAGGTTTTTGTATGTGAGGGTTTTGGAAATGCATCAGTGGTTTTTTATGACTTGGCATGCTGTTGGAGAGTGAGAAAAGTAACATTTATGAAGAGATTCAAGGAAACCAGTTATCTGGACTTGAGTCCTGGAGGTGAGAAGTACAGTGCCTGCACTCTGAAGGAGGTGTGGGGATATTTGCCATTTGGAGGGGCATCTGAACTGTAGTATCAGCATGCCTCTTGTAAGACAGTGATAGTGTGAGTGATGATAAAAGTGATTCTTCTTTTTTGGGTCATCCTGTCTTCGTGGGAGATGGCCAGTGTATTAAAAGAATAATAATAATAATAACAATAATGATAATAAATTGGCAAAGCAAGTGGTTAAAATCCTCAGGCTTATGGTTTATCTGCTTAATTTGCATTTAAGAAAAACGTAAATGTAAAATACTCATTTACAAAAATAATTAACTACGGCACTGTCTGTAATCTGCTGTTGGAACGTGTCATACTAAGAATTGTTTTTTTTATTTCTTGCTGTAATGTCACACTGTAAAAACACTGCGTTTACTCTGTAAATATAGCTTCAAGAAAAGCATCAAGCCCCTGATCCACCAAGATTGTCACCCCAAGCCTCTTCTGTATAGAAGTTCTGGAGCCACCACTTCTTGGTTGGTTGGTAGAGATTTACCTGGTGTTTACCTGAAGTTTACCTGGAGAGAGTTCCGGGGGTCAACGCCCCCGCAGCCCGGTCTGTGACCAGGCCTCCTGGTGGATCAGGGCCTGATCAACCAGGCTGTTGCTGCTGGCTGCACGCAAACCAACGTACGAGCCACAGCCCGGCTGATCAGGAACTGACTTTAGGTGATTAGGAGATTTGCAGCATTTTGCAGTTTTTCTATGCAAAAATTCCAGTTATTTCTTTTACTCCTTTGTTATTTTCTAAGAATAAAATTTTGGGCTAGGAACTCGTAAAATCTTTGATTTTTTATTTTTTTTATTTTTTAGATCATCAGTCTACAAAGTAAGAGTGTGGAAGGTGTTAAGGTTCTTCAAGGTTTTGTAAGCGACATCTGGGCGCAGCTCTTCCGACACACGGAATGCATCGAGGAGGGAACCCGTAATGTTGTTGCAGAATGTTTAGGGAAATTAACGTTGATTAATCCCTCTGCTCTTCTTCCTAAATTGCAAGAATCATTAAAAACAGACTCGCCAATGATGAGAACAACAATTGTAACTGCAATCAAGTTTACCATCTCAGATCAGGTAAGAGTTTTGTGCTTGAAGTTTTCCATGTGGCTTGCTCTCTTGATCTAACCTGATTACCTTCCATTTCCCAGCCACTCTATGACCCCTTTGGTTTTTTTTTTTTTTTTCCCAAGAAAATAATGACAATACTAATGCTGGAATTTTCTTTGATTTGTTTACGTTTCCTGTAAATATCCTATACAGTGGACCCCCGGTTAACGATATTTTTTCACTCCGTAAGTATGTTCAGGTGCCAGTACTGACCGAATTTATTCCCATAAGGAATATTGTGAAGTAGATTAGTCCATTTCAGACCCCCAAACATGCACGTACAAACGCACTTACATAAATACACTTACATAATTGGTCGCATTCGGAGGTAATCGTTATGCGGGGGTCCACTGTATTACAAATAAGAGAGTTGCAGGAAAATGTTTCATGTGGTTCAGGATCCCATAGCCATAACCTTTGGTAAATACTTAACCCTTAAACTGTCCAAACGTAGATCTATGTTCGCTCGCCTAGCGCTCCGAACGTAGATCTACTTTTTTTTTTACATGCTTTTAAATGGAGAAAATCAAGGTCGGAGCGCTATGCACATAAACATAGATCTATACATTTGGACAGTTTAAGGGTTAATGCTGTCTCATAGTCAGAAATTAAAAGGGATAAAAGCTTGTGTCATAAGAGTCAGCACAAATGTAACATTCAGTTACATTAGCTCTTTCACTATCTTTGCCCTCAAAATTGATAGTGCTGACAGTGTGGAGATTTTTTTTTGTATTATCTTCTGAAATGGTAATGATTTTTTTTCTAATGGTAATGACAGCAAAAAGGCAAAGTTTGATGGAAATTTTAAGGAATTACACAGGCATGATTTTTGAGGCCTTTTAATTTAAGCCAATTCTATTGCTCAGTTTGATCCATTTCTTAGCTGTTAGCTAGTATGCCTTCTGTTCTGTCTATTGAGCTAAAGAAATTGCCCATTAAACCATGAGAATTATCCTATAAAGTGCACACAACTGGGAAAATTTGCCCATTTTACACACAATTCATCAAATTGCATTTTAAAAATAGACTCCTAAATTAACACTGTAGACATTCCAGTCACCAAAGCAATGTTTCCTTTCTTTATTAATCATATCCCCCAGGCCTCTCCTCTATAACACTGGCCCTCCAAGAGTAGGCCTCTCCTCTATAACACTGGCCCTCCAAGAGTAGGCATCTCCTCTATAACACTGGCCCTCCAAGAGTAGGCATATCCTCTATAACACTGGCTCTCCAAGAGTAGGCATCTCCTCTATAACACTGGCCCTCCAAGAGTAGGCATATCCTCTATAACACTGGCCCTCCAAGAGTAGGCATATCCTCTATAACACTGGCCCTCCAAGAGTAGGCATATCCTCTATAACACTTGCCCTCCAAGAGTAGGCATCTCCTCTATAACACTGGCCCTCCAAGAGTAGGCATATCCTCTATAACACTTGCCCTCCAAGAGTAGGCATCTCCTCTGTAACACTGGCTCTCCAAGACTAGGCATCTCCTCTATAACACTGGCCCTTCAAGAGTAGGCATCTCCTCCATAACACTTGCCCTCCAAGAGTAGGCATCTCCTCTATAACACTGGACCTCCAAGAGTAGGCATCTCCTCTATAACACTGGCTCTCCAAGATTAGGCATCTCCTCTATAACACTGGACCTCCAAGAGTAGGCATCTCCTCTATAACACTTGCCCTCCAAGAGTAGGGATCTCCTCTATAACACTGGCCCTCCAAGAGTAGGCATCTCCTCTATAACACTGGCCCTCCAAGAGTAGGCATATCCTCTATAACACTTGCCCTCCAAGAGTAGGCATCTCCTCTGTAACACTGGCTCTCCAAGACTAGGCATCTCCTCTATAACACTGGCCCTTCAAGAGTAGGCATCTCCTCCATAACACTTGCCCTCCAAGAGTAGGCATCTCCTCTATAACACTGGACCTCCAAGAGTAGGCATCTCCTCTATAACACTGGCTCTCCAAGATTAGGCATCTCCTCTATAACACTGGACCTCCAAGAGTAGGCATCTCCTCTATAACACTTGCCCTCCAAGAGTAGGGATCTCCTCTATAACACTGGCCCTCCAAGAGTAGGCATCTCCTCTATAACACTGGCCCTCCAAGAGTAGGCATCTCCTCTATAACACTGGCCCTCCAAGAGTAGGCATCTCCTCTATAACACTGGCCCTCCAAGAGTAGGCATATCCTCTATAACACTGGCTCTCCAAGAGTAGGCATATCCTCTATAACACTGGCTCTCCAAGAGTAGGCATCTCCTCTATAACACTGGCCCTCCAAGAGTAGGCATCTCCTCTATAACACTGGCCCTCCAAGAGTAAGCATCTCCTCTATAACACTGGCCCTCCAAGAGTAGGCATCTCCTCTATAACACTGGCCCTCCAAGAATAGGCATATCCTCTATAACACTGGCTCTCCAAGAGTAGGCATCTCCTATATAACACTGGCCCTCCAAGAGTAGGCATCTCCTCTATAACACTGGCTCTCCAAGAGTAGGCATCTTCTCTATAACACTGGCCCTCCAAGAGTAGGCATCTCCTCTATAACACTGGCTCTCCAAGAGTAGGCATCTCCTCTATAACACTGGCCCTCCAAGAGTAGGCATCTCTATAACACTGGCCCTCCAAGAGTAGGCATCTCCTCTATAACACTGGCCCTCCAAGAGTAGGCATCTCCTCTATAACAATGGCCCTCCAAGAGTAGGCATCTCCACTATAACACTGGCCCTCCAAGAGTAGGCATCTCCTCTATAACACTGGCCCTCCAAGAGTAGGCATCTCCTCTATAACACTGGCCCTCCAAGAGTAGGCATCTCCTCTATAACACTGGCCCTCCAAGAGTAGGCATCTCCTCTATAACACTGGCCCTCCAAGAGTAGGCATCTCCTCTATAACACTGGCCCTCCAAGAGTAGGCATCTCTATAACACTGGCTCTCCAAGAGTAGGGATCTCCTCTATAACACTGGTCCTCCAAGAGTAGGCATATCCTCTATAACACTGGCCCTCCAAGAGTAGGCATCTCCTCTATAATACTGGCCCTCCAAGAGTAGGCATATCCTCTATAACACTGGCTCTCCAAGAGTAGGCATCTCTATAACACTGGCTCTCCAAGAGTAGGCATCTCCTCTATAACACTGGCCCTCCAAGAGTAGGCATCTCCTCTATAACACTGGCCCTCCAAGAGTAGGCATCTCCTCTATAACACTGGCCCTCCAAGAGTAGGCATCTCCTCTATAACACTGGCTCTCCAAGAGTAGGCATCTCCTCTATAACACTGGCCCTCCAAGAGTAGGCATCTCCTCTATAACACTGGCCCTCCAAGAGTAGGCATCTCCTCTATAACACTGGCCCTCCAATTTGAATCCATCGTCACACGCAGAAAATAAAAGTTTTCCCTATTTCTTGGCTATTAAAATATAACCCAAGAATGATTGGTCATAGTTTATGCAGCCTCAATAATTGAAGCAGATCTAATATAGCCTATAAAAGAGACTGAGGAGGGGCCTACCTTTCCACAGGAAAATCATCAAAAATCTAACAATTTCTGCCATCTTGAGGCATATTTCATGCCTCTTCAAATCTGAAACCCACCAAAATTACCTCTGCTTAACTAGTAAGTTTTCCATTCTATCAATTGTTTCCAAGAAATAGTCAATAAAACAAAATCCACCTTTGAAAATGCCTCAAAGTCACTATTTTAATGCAAGCACAATGTCAAAGATTTGCTTTTCCCATCATGCAATGTGGGGCAGGATTTTTTTTTTTATATTACACTGCACACCCATAGCACTGGCCCATTGTTTCATGTCTAGGCCAAAATTTACTGCTCACAGCATATTTGAGGGCGCTGTGATTATGACGAAGATCCTGCGTGAATGACACTGACCTCGGTAACATAGCTGTGTGAGGCGACACTAAAAGAGTGAACACTTGACAGATTAATATTTAAAAATAAGCCCTGGGGCAAACGTGATGAGATTTAATTTTACCAATTTGAGATTATCAAGGGATGGGGAAGGGGGTTATTTTAAGCTCTTATTCTTGCTACTTTTTAAAATGGAAGTGAATTAGCATTCCTACCTTTTTTATGAGTTTTTGTGTGGAATCTGCTTCCATTAAGTCATTTTTAGGCTCATTTCACTTTAGCACTTTTTGGTTTAGAAAGTGTTTTTTGATATCCCATTAGCTCATATGAGTGTCAAGTGTACAGCAATTCCCTTTCATTCTTGTATATCATGGTCATGTCTCTCTTGTTACTTACTCCTCGAGTTACATAGGCTTAGTTCTCTCCTTTCCTTGTAAGTCGTTCCCTTTGGTTTAGCATAGTTAAGGGTAGAGTCCCTGATTTTGCCAACTCTTTTATTTTTCAACCAATTTTTTTTATTTTTGGTGTACATTTAGAGGTTCATATGTAGAAGAATGTGACAAAGTTTCAGTATGATTGGCCAACAAACAACAGAGAAAAAAAATATTTCAGTGACTTCATGTATGGCAGCAAAGTATGACAAAATGGCACTTCGAGTGGCACTTCCGACAATCCCAACCGTTAGAATACATCTGACACTAATTTTGGATGCACATGTTTCATCTAATATATCTTATTATCATGGAAAAAAAAAATACATTTGATAGACTTTTTTGCATTCACCAAAATATCAAAAATATTTGAGGAATTGTTAAATGTTGATGAAGATAGGGAAGCTGTGATTTCGTGTATAGGGCAAGGAGGAATAACATCTTGTAGGAGTGAGGAAGAGCCAGTTGTGAGTGTGGGGGAAGTTCGTGAGGCAGTAGGTAAAATGAAAGGGGGTAAGGCAGCCGGGATTGATGGGATAAAGATAGAAATGTTAAAAGCAGGTGGGGATATAGTTTTGGAGTGGTTGGTGCAATTATTTAATAAATGTATGGAAGAGGGTAAGGTACCTAGGGATTGGCAGAGAGCATGCATAGTTCCTTTGTATAA